TATAGATGTTATTTTAATAGGTATCTGGTAGATAAATCAAGAATCCTTTCTGTTTTGTTTTGAAGAACTAACTGTACAGTTCTGATTCATCATCATGTTATTTCAGTATTCATTTGTAATTTAGCATTTTGATAAAAAGTATTTCAAGTAATATTAATTTACTCAATTCCTTAGACTGAGATTTTCTCATTCAAAATCCACTATTTTTCAACTGTGTTACAATGAAATGCTTTTATCAGCAAAAACAAATATATATATATATATATACACACACACACATACATATATTTATGTATGTATAGAAAATTAGTACTTAAACAGTTAATCAAAATGAAGAACTGCATTAAAACAGCAAATCAAAACCTGTGATGAACAACATTTTAAACAGCCCCAAACACAAAACAAAATTAATGAAGCTGCATAAATTACTCAAATTTAGAACAGTGAAAAAATATTAAAATCTTGGTTTAAACCATAAGGATATAATTTTTTTAATTTCAAACCGTTGGGTTCTTCATTAACAATTTCTAATACAGTTATTTTAACATAAATAAAAGGATGAATTCTGAAATGCTTTAATTCTTTGTAATTCAGTAAATTGTTTTTAATTTGAGTTCTTTGTAAGTTTATATGTACATATATAATGGATTTGAAGTTTGACCAACATATTCCATATTATATTCAGTACAAGTTAATAGATAAACTACATTATATATTTTTCTGAATGAATTTGTATGAATAACAAGATGAAAAGAGTTTAGAGCAGGATATGTGAGACATTGTTTGCTATTACATCTTATAACATTAGCAGCAATATAATTACTATAATCATATCGCTAGGGTAAATTACAGTTGACATAGTTTGTCTATTAGTTAAGGCAATGATACCTAACTGCAATAACATAGAGAATGAACAACGTAATGGAAATGTGCAACATTGTCAGCAACAAATCACATCCACTGAAATATGTATAGAAAATTAGTACTTAAACAGTTAAGCAAAAATTAACATCAAAAGAAAGGACTGTATTAAAAACAGCAAATCCAAACTTGTGATTAATTAAATTTTAACCTACAAAACAGACCCAAACAAAAAATGAAATTGAAGATGCTGCATAATTTAAAAGGGTCCCCAAGGTACAGGCTGTAATGGGGGATATAAAATGTGCCCTGGCTTTTGGAGGTGACTGTGAAAGTAGGACCCACATTGCAGTGTGGATACACTGTCTACTAGTTTTAACCTATGTTCGCCAGTTTCACATGTTGAAGAAAATATAAAACAAATAATCAAACATATTTATCAAATAAAAAGTTAAGAGAGCAAAATGTGGGTGTTCAAGTCCACAGCATCCCAAATCTCTATTGCTCTTCAATGCCTGCAGACAGTTGTGGGAAGATGATTGCTCCCCAAAGTAATAAATGAAAAACTGTTGAATATTTCATAAATCCTGAAATTTTTGCTTTAATTTATAGATATATAAATGATTTAATTGGTATAAGTAATCCTGAGATAAACAATTTTATTAACATTATATATGTGGTAGAATTAAAAATTGAAAATACTTCAATTCTGAAACAGTACTACCTTTGCTGACTCAAAATCATCTCGACCTTGGTTTGCCCTCTAAGCACTGCCAAAAATAGTAAGCTAACATCTCATCAGTCTTTTATACCCCTTAATTTTTGCACCATTTCAGAATTTGCTAATCATGTGACTACCCTCCACCAATCATACTGTGCCATCTATACTAGCGCATGTAGCTCCCTCTACTATTCTTGCACAATCTTCACATTCTCAATTGGCATTTTAGTGTATAGACATGTTTTTTAACTAGCTCTCCATGTGACTACAAAAATTTGATTGTGCTTGATAACTAATTTATATCTGTTTCAACTTCTTGTGTTTAATTTCCATTGTTTCGACTCATTTGTTTTTGAAATATTTCTGTTTTCCAAATTGTAATTTGTACATATGAATTTGAGATTTAATATGGTGGAGGATGAATTTCCCACTATAGTAGACAATGGTTCTGACATGAGTCCCTAAGTCTCAGGATCGAGACGTCTGCTGGGGAAGCACAGGCTTTAATTCGTGTCTTATGTTCGGCCAACGATTTCTTCCTTTCATGTTACATATTTTGTGAGGAAGGATATAACTACCAAGTGGAAATTTCTTTATACGACACTTTCCACCTGTTACCAGGCCCGGCATGGCCAGATGGTTAGGGAACTAGACTCACAATTTTTGGGTTGCGGGTTCAAATCCCCATCCCATCAAACATTCTCGCCCTTTCAGCCATGGGGGCATTATAATGTGACGGTCAATCCCACTATTCGTTGGTAAAAAGAGAAGCCCAAGAGTTGGCGGTGGGTGGTGATGACTAGCTGCCTTCCCTCTAGTCTTACACTGGTAAATTAGGGATGGCCAACGCAGATAGCCTTTATGTAGCTTCACACAAAATTCAAAACAAACAATCCACCTGTTACCACGCCTCCATGTAATCTGCTAGATTAAGTATTGTTCTTCTTCCCAGTAGATCTGTGGTACGTTTTCCAACATGTATTCCCCACTCGCAGTTGGTATACATGAGCTTGGGTGGATGGACCTAATTTCCATATGCAATAATTTAGGTCTTTCATGTCTTCTCTGCTCAGTACTTGGTAAGTTAGATTTTTATAATTCTTTTACCATCTCAGTTACTTTAGTTTAACTTTGAGTTTACAGTTTGATTCACTTTCGGTATATGTATGGGTTTTGCATGTTAGTTATTGTTTGGGTAATTGTAACTTCAGCCACTTTTGAGGATGTGTTGATTTGTTATTTATACTTCTTTTCATTGATTATGTTAGTTAGTTTGTAAGTTCCTTTTTCTTTATTACTAGTCACATCTAATTAAGTATTAGATATGAGTCAACATTTGACATTGTTAACTGGGTGCCTTTTTATTCTCAAGTTCTTCAATGTTCCATTTTCTTCATTTCATCGATGAGGGTTCTGTCTTCCAGTTCTGGGCACTGCTGTTTGGTCCTTCTTCAGCTGCATATGTGTTTTGTTGAGTGATACACTCTTTTGCACATCATCTTCCCTTGCTGGGTCTTCGGACTCACCATTACATAGATGATTAGCTACTGCTCACCTGTTCCCATACTCAGTCAATCACTCATACCTGCTTACATCTTCGAAAAGCTGCTCAATTGGCATTTCTCATCAAGTTGTAGAAGTCCTTTATTACCCCCACACAGTTTCTTATTCATTTGGGAGTTCTCTTCAATTCACAACTCAGTCGCAACCAGCGTTCTCCACTTCAGCTGTAGGATTTGGAGCTGGCAGTCATGTAGGCCCTACCTTCTCCTTCCCTTTCTACATGGGTAGTTCAATCTCTTTTGAGGATGTGGGGGTTCCAGAAGTAGTGCTATACTCCATAGGTGTGCCTTCTTTTCTTATTATGGCATACCTGTTCTTTTAAGGCGGTTGCTCTCCTCTTGACTGAATACTGTCACACCTTCATAAGCCCCTCTACCTTTGCAGTGTGGGATTTTAGCTTTGGGTGCATGGAGATAGTCCCGTTTTGGAAGTTAACGTTTTCTTACACTGAAATGTATTTCTGATAGGTACTTCCCTCTTTTCCCACACTTCTTCCCCAATGAAATGCCGGTGTTTTTAACTTGTACCTGCCAATTCTCGAAAATGAGGATTGTGATAGAATAATAAAGAACGCTACCTGCACTAGTACAGATGATGCAGTATGATTAATGGAAGGCAATAAAATGTTCTGAAATGTCATGAAAATGATGGGGTGTAAAGGACTGGTGCGCTGTTAGCGATAAACTTTTTAGCAAGGGCAAACCAAGATCAAGAGAATTTTGGGTGAAAGGAGGTAAGTACATATCAGAAATACGTATATAAAATATTATCTTTAGAATGTAAAGACACATTATCTAGATAAAGAAATTAAAATAACTGATAATAATATCAATCTAAATATTTTTCGACTCCAACATATGGCTTACCATTTTTTAATAGTAGTATGCCACACTCTTCTGTTATAAGTATTAACTTCATAATTACTCAAATTTTGTAAATTTTTTTATATGTCATTATTAATGATGAAATATTTATGAAAAATTAGTATTTAATGGATTTAATAAAGAAACATTAAATAAAATGATCAAAATATTTTGTAATAAATGTAAAAATATATTAAATAAATATAAAGAAGTAAAAATTAAGAAGTTCTTGCTTAAAGTTTCCAAGAAGTATTTATAGTTATTAATAAGAGTGTTTAAACATCTTGGCACCATTTCTATGTGGATGAACACCTTATCACACATAAAGGCTCAGGTAAAGGCTGAAAATTGGTAAAACCTTATTTTCATTATTCTTTTTACCTTTTTATTACTTTGGAGAGCAGCCACCTACCCACAACTGTCTGCAGACAATGAAGGACAATACAGATGTGGGACATTGTGGACTTGAGCACCCACATTTTGCTCTCCTAACATTTATTTTTTTAATGATTTTGTCTGATATTTTTTTGTTTTTTCAACATGTGAGACTGGTGAATGAAGGTTAAGACTGGCAGACACTGTGTCTCCACTGGAATGTGGGTGCTATTTTCGCAGTCCATTCCAAAACCCAGGGCACATTTTATATCCCACATTATAGTCTGTACCTTGGAGATCCTTTTAATTCATGCAGCATCTTCAATTTCGTTTTTTTGTTTGGACCTGTTTTGTTCATTGATATATATATATATAGAGAGAGAGCAGATGTAACTTATTCTACATAAGTATTAGTGTTAATAAACTTCTACAAAAGCTGAAAACACAAATACACATAACAGCTTAACAGAAGCACTAGGAAATTCTAATGGTTCATATACAAGCCCAGTATGAGAATAGCTACATAACAGTAGAGCTGGATGATTAGTAGAATTTCCTAATCAATTTAATCACCTAGCTCTACAAAACATGGCCTAATTTATTATGCATAAACTAACCTAATGTGATAGAATTGAGATAAACTGGATGAATGAAATGACTCAAAAGGGCCCCCTGGATTCCAAGGACATTCCAAGCAGCAATCTTATCACTACAGGACATGGTTCTCAACCTATTTCCTTGTTTGACAGCATCCCAAGCCTGGACTGCACAAGAATCTTCAACTGGTATTGTTCCTTCTCCTGACGTAAAAAAAAAAGTTAGATTCTCACACAGTACTAAGAAGTATTTCTGTTCACATAAACCAAAACTTAAAATACTCTGTAAAACTTACAGTGTTGCATGAATATGGGGAATACTTAATAAACATAAAGTATCTGTCAGAATACCACAAAAACTTAAAGAAAATTCATATTCATCAAATACAGGTCTACAAAAATAATAAAAGAGCTAATCAAATAGTGTAAAAGAAAATATTCTGTACTTTAACACTCATATATTCTTTCTCAATCTACCCACAAACAATTCATCTGGAATAACTTAGAGTCATAAAAAAAAAGACTTAAGGCTCCCCATACTCCTACCATAATATTACACAGAACAATCAGTTATATTTATGTTGTAATTTAGTGTTATTTGTACAACATTACTAATGTTGGACTGTGTCTGTAGTAGAGGGGGAGGGATTCTTGATCCAGGGCCTTTAATGTCAACTTATTCTCTGATATCATCATTGTTAGTTTGTTTGTTTGTTTTTGAATTTCGCACAAAGCTACACGAGGGCTATCTGCGCTAGCCGTCCCTAATTTAGCA